GTTGCTAGGGGCTGGGAGGAGAGGAACAGGAAGAGTTATTGTTTAATGGTATAGAATTGTAGTTTTTTTAAGCTGAAAAGTTATGAGGATGGATGATGGTGATGGGTGCCCAACACTGTGAATGTATTTAAAACCACTTGAACTATATGCACTTAAAAATGATTAAGATGGTAAACTTTGTTACGTGTATTTTACCACAATAAAAAAGAAAATGTTGTGGTTAATTTAAAAGCAAATATTTAGAAGACAGTTACCCAGACTTAAACATTAGAAAAAAAGACAAAGGATTCTTATTATGCAAAATACTTTTTGAGTGGCATGAGGTTTAACCATATGTTCATTTTTATCATTTTAATTTCTAAGTGGATGGTTCTAGAAAAAAGTCCTGTTTTCTTCTTCACATCTTTACACATTTCTAGAACTGGGTTCTGAATCAAAGACAGACTTTTAAAAGTTTTTGCATTAAGTGGTTTTTGGTGAAAATGGGCTGAGTAAAACTGAGTAAAAGCCACAGCTACCCAAAGTGTGAATATTAGCTAGCAACTGACTTGTTCTCTAAGCATCCTGTAAAAAGGAACACATTATTGGTTGATTAATGTCCTGTTAATGCAAATGAAATGGCTAAAGCAAAAAAAAAATAAACTTAATATTCAAAAAGGATTTTGTATTTTCAGAAACAGATTTTTTCAAAGTGAAAATTTCTTCTATCAATAAAGTAAAACTTCCTGCCAAATGACAACACTGCCATGAATGTTTGTTCAAATATAACATCAAATATATATATCTCATTTTAATGCTTAAAATAGATTACATTAAGTAATTTTATTCTGAAATATCCTAGAGCTACCTTGACTTTTACAATATGAGTTATGTATATTCACTGTATTTGAATTGTAGAGGCTACTCTGAGTTCATTTTGGGAGGCTAGTGAAATAAATCCCTAAAGGCCCCTTTTCCATGCATTAAAATAGAAAATCCTATGGGATTACATTCATGTTTGCTTTCTAAATTATACCAAAAGCTCAGTTTTATTAAGTATAATCTGTCTACCCATGCACAAAATAAAATACTTTGGTTTAGATGTGAGTGTATGTGTTATTTACATTGATTTTATAAGAATATTCATCCATACATGTGCCAACATGTAATGCCTAATATTGGTTAGTATAGTAAAAGATAATACCATAACATTACTTTCCTAAATGCTTTTCTGAGTTCATCTAATAGTAGTATATATTGATAGGAATAACTATCTTTAAAGTTATTTTATTGGTTTCAAAAAAGATCTGTTTAAGGATAATACCAACTTTCACTCCAATTTAGTTTATATTGTTAAGAAAATAGACCATCAATAGCGGGTAACTTTACATATTTATACATGGCAATAATTTAAAGTTATATCAGATGATAGGCCCTAAAATATTATTGTCTTTTTAATTGAATTATGAAATAGTTTATATTCAAGAATCTATTTACGTTCAAGAACATAGAAGGGTTGCAGTTATATAAATGCAGAATTTCAGTTACCTTTGGCCTAAAGCATCACTTTAAACATTTTCTAAAAGGTTTTTCAGTTGTGCATTTTGACTCCATTATATGTGTAATTAAACCTCAATGCACAAAAAGCATTTTCTTATGTACTAGCAAATATACCCACAGGAATCCTCTTCTAAACTATAATTTATTTAAACATGTAATCATAGGATTTTTAAAACATTCTTTCATTTTTCCAAACTGTTTGCCAATTTGAACTGTTTGGTGATAAATTGAGAGATTTTATTACTATTTTGATCCCCCCCCCTCCCGTCCCTTGTGACCTAGCAGGGAGTTAAACAGGAGCAGGAGGAAATAAAGAAAATCTACTGTAAACCTAATTCCATGTGTTAAACTGTTTCCCTTTACCAGACAAACAGAAGAGAATCACAGATTTGTAGATATTTATGAATGCCATTACAGTTTGAATAGTTGGGCCTGCAGCATGCTCTCCTCCGGATAGGCCTAAGTAGTGATAGCTGTATTGGGGGGGTGGGGGGGAGGGGCGTCTGTGTGTGTGTGTGTGTGTGTGTGTGTGGTGTGTTTGTGTGTGTGTTATCTTCCTGAACGTTGTAGAGTCAGGCCCCCTACTGACAGGATCAGTCAATTACAGACGTGGGCATTTCTACTGAGTCTTACTTCCATTAGAATCAGGTGGGAACACAGGAATATGGAGTTTTGACAGTAGTCCTTCTTTACACTTTCTGATGCCTGTGCTCAATCCTTTCCACCCTTTGCATATCCGAGCCCTACCAAAAACGCCAACCCAAGAAGTAGCTTATTTGATAATTGGTTTAAATGAGTGTTTCAGTCTTGCATCTGGTGTGTTTTCCTAAGAAGTAATGCTTCCCAGGTACTAGTTCTCTTCCCAGAGAACTCTTTCACGGATTGTAGCATTGGAGGAAATAAGTCCACCTCTTCTCTCTTTTTAATGTTATATTTAAACACGCCACTCCAAGTTATTAATAATTGTTACAATAAGCTGCTGTGAAAACTGCCTCTCCATCTTGGGTGCATTAAGACTTGGGCAAAGGCTAGGTTATCAGACTCCACAGGTTGCAGTTATCGAGCAATGAACCACAGTATGGATTCCTTGGAGCTCACTCTTAAGAACTCCAGAACACTTTTCCACTCCAGGGGAAAATTCTCAACTTGTCCTGAGACTCAACCCAGGCTTAAGTGTTTTGTTTTTTTAAAGACAGTAACGGTGGAGGAGCATGTGGAGGAAATGCATCTACTTAAATGTGCCTTTTTGTGTATGAAGGGTAATGGTTACAACCTTAAAAGTTCTCCCAGCCTGTGCTTTCCTAGGAATATATTTTAAAAACAATAACTGCCAACCCAGCGTGGCTGTGCTTGATTTTCCGATTGCCCGAAAATAGCGGCTAGGAGCCTGCCCTACTGCTGGGATCAGGGAAAGCTCCCCTCGGGCGCGCCCTGCTCCCGGGCGGAAGGGGAAGGGAACCCGGGAGGGCGCCACCGAGCCAGAGCTGCTATTTTGGGCCCAGCCGCGCGGGTGCGTCAATGCCTGAGCCCCTGCGTCACCGCCACCCCCACCCCTTTCCTTCTCCCCGGCTCTCCAAACTCTCACTTTTTCCCTTTCGTTCGCGTGGAATCGATTCTGCCCACGGGGCTCTGACGCTACCGAGCTCATTCTAATAAACTATTCTTCGCTCTCCTCCCCTAATCCCCCTACTCACACACCCTCACTCGCCACCACAAGTACCTCCGCCCCCCAACACACACACACACACACACACACACATTCACACAAGCACACACACTTCCTGGTTTACTTTTTTTTTTCCCCCTCGAGCCCGCTCTAGCACAGCTGAGCTGCAGCGGCAGTGGCGGCGGCAGCAGCAGCGGCAGTAGCAACATCTGGGGAAAACTTAAGGTGGTCACGTAGGATTTCCCGAGGCTGTGGCACTGGAGAGCCTGCGGCTTCCCGGGGCAGTCTCAGTGCACCTGATGGCTTCGCCTCTCCGGCCGCTGGGAAGCAGGAGGCAGCAGGAGGAGGCAGGAGCGGGCAAAGGCAGGGGTGCAGATTAGACCTGAGCGGCTCGGAAGCGCCAGTAGTGCCAAGGCGCTTTCGGCCCATACTGGTAACACGAGGATGGTGGGGGGCGGGGAGTTGCCGAGGGGCCCCAGCGGCCTGGAAGCCAGCCCCGCCGAGGGAGGAGGGGCGGCTTCAACTTTCAGCCCCACAGGAGAAGCCCTCTTAGGCCCGGCCAGGTCAGGCCGAGGGACTGGCAAGGGGGTTTGCTCCTGGGAGAATTGGCATTTCCTTTGCTAGAAAGTGCCTTGCGCCCTCAGGGTGGTGGTTGGATTAACTTGCCAAGCGGAGTTGGCGGCGACTCAGAGGGCCGCGGGGCCGAGGCATCCCCACAGCCTTCCAGCCGGCCGGGGCCCCTCTTCTGGGAGGGCTGAACGTGCACCCTTGACGCTTAGCGGGACTGCTCCTCCACCTGCCCTTCAGGTTTTGTCTTTCCTTCAGGGCTCTCACATGGAGGCTGTGAGAGCCCTTGTGCTCCAGAGGAGGGTCAATATATTTCCTTAAAATTCGTGGAAGGATAGGAGTTGATCGGCACCGAGGAATGTCGAAAGTACTAGAGTTAGCAAATGGTGAGATTAGAGCATCTTTCTGCAGAAGGCGCACCTGTTGCCCGCACCGGCTGCCTTGTCTGTGAAAGGAAAGTGGCCTCACTCTGACTTTTGGGGTTCTTCAAGGGCTGGGCCTCTCTTTCTCTCTCCACTCTGTTCCCCACGCACACGTCCTCTATTGCACGTGAGCATTGCAAGGAAAGAAGGAAACACAAATTAGCTCCTTCCATCTCAGACTCCGAGAGCTCCGAGAGAGAGAGAGAGAGAGAGAGAGAGAGAGAGAGAGGGAATATAAATATGCCAGAGGAGGAGGTGGCGGCCTGGGACAGGAAAAGGGAGAAGAAGAGGATACACCGCGCTAGGAAAATCCCACTCCAATTGCCTAAGCCCTCGGAGCATCTCGTGCCAGGGGGCATCTGTACTCTCTTCCGCTAATGGGGGTGACGATTGTGGGTGGGTGAGGTTAGGGAGCTGCCAGGCACACCCCATCCTTACGATTCCAGGTGCTGGCTACCTGGCCCACACGAGGGTTCCTTTCCGCCCAGGCTTTTGTTGCACCGTCCCCCACATGTGAGAGGCCAGGCAGCAGCAGTGGCGCGGGATTTGGGGGAGGTGGGTGAGATGTCGCTCTGTGGGCTGCATGGACCAGAGTGGAGAGGTCACACCTCTTTCGGAAAACACGCGCGCGCGCGCGCACACACACACACACACACACACACACACACACACACAAACCCCAAGCTGGCTACCAAGGTGAACCCAGAATGGTTCCCACCTTAAAATCAGCCCTGCTCGTGACGTCAGGTCGGAAATATACCAAAGCGAGCGCGGGCCAGGAGTCCGGGGAGCGCGGCGGCGCGGCTATTGGGCGACGGGCCTCTGACGCGCGCTGACGCGCGGAGACTTTAGGTGCATGTTGGCAGCGGCAGCGCGAGCCACATAAACAAAGGCACATTGGACGCCAGGGCCAGTCCTCCAGGAGGCTCGCGCAAAGCTCCGCGGTCCTGCTCGCCAGTCCAGCCGGCCGCCTTCCCCTGCTCCCTCCAGGCTCTCGGCGTCTCCGCACCCTTCGCCCCTCTCGCCCACCCTCCCGGACCTTGCGCCCGGAGTACCAGAGGGAACTACACTTCGGCGGAGTTGAATGAATGAAGAAAGAAGTGGAGAACTCCTAAATGAGTAGGTGACGCCGGTGCAGCTCGCGTTTTTTAATCCTTTCTTCTTTTGCATGTCTCTTCTTTCCACATCTGTGGTACAGGTTTTCTGGAATTGGGCATCAGAGGCGCGAAACGCGATGGGGCAGGAGGATGGGGAGGAGGTGACGCGCAGTTACGGAGGGCATTTGTCCGAACACCACCTTTGGCACTAGCGGGGAGTTGGCCCCCAACAGAGATTTCCAGGCTCCTCATTGGTAGGCATGAAGGGAGACTCGCATAGTTTGGGGAGCTAGGGACTTGCCCGCGGAAATAAATGTGCGCAAAGTTTGCTCTGAGCGCGGAATTGGTTGTCATCTTTGGACACGGAGACTCCAAATTCTGTGTATTCGAGGGGCCTGGACACTGCCCACAAAGTGACACGGAGAGAGAAAGTGCTTCAGTTTATGTGTTGCTTGGGAACTGTGTCACCGCTGCTGGCCAGTGTGCCAGTGTTTCCTGGGTATTGTTGAGTAAGGAAGGGGGTGGGGTGGGGTGGGGTAGAGTGTCCTGTTACTAAGTTGACTGAAATGTCTGGTTTTGATATATGCCGAGCTTGTGTATGTGAGTGTGTCAGAGACAAACAGAGGGAATATGTAAAGAGTACAGTTATGAAGCTGTGAAATAATTAGGGGGGTAATAACCAGCACAGACACGTCTCTCAAGTCTGTGAGGGTCAAGAATCTCCTTTCTTTCTACTTATTTTAAGTTAACCTCTCTCCATTAATGAAGCAAGATCCTTAAAGGGGAGGGGGGCAAAGAGAACAGGAGTGGATGTTTGGCTTTCTTTTTCATTAGTAATAAGATTGTCTATGGTGTAGAATTCCTTCCAAGTAGGAACATTTGAAAATTACTAGGATACACGAATACCTTGCTCCAGTAAGTGGTCAGATTGTGGCAGGCTGTATAGGGAAGGTGTTCAGCTTGCTATGTTGGGAATCACTTCCAACATTGGTGCCAGTACCAGATAAGCAGCATTGCTCTCTCTCTCTGCAATGGATCTAAAATGCTCCTAAGATGCCCCTCTTTCCACCCCTTGGCCATTAAAAATGTTGAAGGATAAGTTTCCTGGAAAAGTGAATGCCAGTTCACCTGTTTCCCCAATCCCAGTGCTCTGTCAAACGCATGTTCATGTTGACTTCAGCGCTGCCCAGGCCTTTCTAACATTTTGTATCTCAAAGGGGTGGAGGGAGAGGCTTCCTCATTTTATATTCTTGACATCTACTTTCTTCTCCCCTCCCAAAAGAAAAGCCAGTTTCACCATGGGGGGTGGAACAGAGAAGGTTCTAATGCTGTATTTTATTAATCTCTAGTTTCTTCTTTTTGGGTCTGAATTAAACTAAAATGGAATGACACTCCCTTCCACCCCCCATACACCCTACCAAAAGGGCCAATTTATTACATCATAAGAATTAAACAAGTTCATGGAATACCTTTGCTTTTTCAGAACCTTCTCTCTGCCAGGATTTACACAGTGCAATGGGTGGCATGTCCTGTTGTTTTCAGCCATCTCTTTTACACATTTATGTTAACTGCTAGGTTTGATGAAGGCTGCACACAATTACCAATGAAACAATCATGGAGGGCATAGAAAGGCCTGCCTGGTGAGTCTACAGATGCCTGGCTGAATCTGTCCAGAATGTCACCCTGAAGCTTTCTGTGTCTGTTTTCAGGGAGGAGATCTGACAGGCTGGACTCCCCATTGCTTTTCTAAAATCTTGGAAACTTTAGCCTTCATTGAATTACGACACTGTCCACCTTTAATTCCCTTGAAAACGCCTGTAATTCGGCTGAAGGTTAGTGCAACTTGATTTCTCCCCCACCCGCACTCCATTCCCTAAATATCAGGACAAGGGGCAATGCGATCTTCTCCAGCAAACCCGGTAACTTAAGGTTTTCCAACTCTTCACCTTTGGGAACAACTTTCTCATTGTGCAGGTTAATTTCATTTCTTGAATGAATTTGCTGAACCTGAGCTTCTGAGGAAAGGCTCATTTGAGCAGGATTGTCCTCCTCAAAATGAAAGGGGGTTGATGGCGGGGGGCGTTTGGAAATAGCTGGGCTTTCTAGCTCTGGGTCTTTATTTGACCAGCCTTTCCACACCCTGCACAGTTTTGCCCTCTAAGCATTCGTGCTCTCCACCCTTCCCCTCGCGCCCCTACACCTCTTTGACTGCCGCGGGCTGCCAGTGTAGCTCCAGATGTACCTGAGCCCGGGAGAAAGTGTTCAGTTGCCCAGGCTGAGTGTATATTATTACCCTGTTTCATTTCCAGCCATGCCTTGTGTTCAGGCGCAGTATGGGTCCTCGCCTCAAGGAGCCAGCCCCGCTTCTCAGAGCTACAGTTACCACTCTTCGGGAGAATACAGCTCCGATTTCTTAACTCCAGAGTTTGTCAAGTTTAGCATGGACCTCACCAACACTGAAATCACTGCCACCACTTCTCTCCCCAGCTTCAGTACCTTTATGGACAACTACAGCACAGGCTACGACGTCAAGCCACCTTGCTTGTACCAAATGCCCCTGTCCGGACAGCAGTCTTCCATTAAAGTAGAAGACATTCAGATGCACAACTACCAGCAACACAGCCACCTGCCCCCCCAGTCCGAGGAGATGATGCCGCACTCCGGGTCGGTTTACTACAAGCCCTCCTCGCCCCCAACGTCCACCACCCCGGGCTTCCAGGTTCAGCACAGCCCCATGTGGGATGACCCAGGCTCCCTCCACAACTTCCACCAGAACTACGTGGCTACCACGCACATGATCGAGCAGAGGAAAACGCCTGTCTCCCGCCTCTCCCTCTTCTCCTTTAAGCAGTCGCCCCCCGGTACCCCTGTGTCTAGCTGCCAGATGCGCTTCGACGGGCCCCTGCACGTCCCCATGAACCCGGAGCCGGCGGGCAGCCACCACGTTGTGGACGGGCAGACCTTTGCTGTGCCCAACCCCATCCGGAAGCCCGCGTCCATGGGCTTCCCGGGTCTGCAGATTGGCCACGCCTCGCAGCTGCTCGACACACAGGTGCCCTCGCCGCCGTCGCGGGGCTCCCCCTCCAACGAGGGGCTGTGCGCTGTCTGCGGCGACAACGCGGCCTGCCAGCACTACGGAGTGCGCACCTGTGAGGGCTGCAAAGGTTTCTTTAAGGTGAGCAAGGCCAGGACGGAGGAGTCAGGTAGAGGCCCCCTAGGTCCGGGAGCCTGGACGTGCGGTCTCCACCTTGGTGCAGGCAGCTCAGGCCCAGCTTGTCCCGGAAAGTTCAACTCCCAGGGTCCGCAGAGGTCGTGGTGGGGGCAGCCGAGTGCCTGAGATAAGGAAGTAGGGAGACCGGGAGATCCGGGGTCGCATCCCCTGCATGAAGCCACCCGGCAGGCCCCCACCCCAAGTTGCTGGAGCGGGAGTTGGAAGAGGGTCATTTGCATGTGCTCGGAGCTGTCTTCTCTGTTCAGATTGAAATTGGTTAGGACAGAGAACCGTGTCTGAGCTAACCAAGTGGAACAGAATTCCCTATGGTCAAATTAAGTGATCTCTTTATTTCGCCATCCTGATTGAATAATCTTATCATTTTAAATAGAGAAGGTCTCCAAGGAATGTAAATAATATGAATGCCCACGGATTTGTATTTACTGAACGTCTCCTTCTCCTTCTCTTGGCATATAAAACACAGCAAGGAGAGGCAAGGTTAGCTCAAATGTTAACGCTATCAATTTTCTTCTGTAACATGCCCTGGGGGAGGAAAAAGAAAAGAAAGAGAAAGGAAAAAGAAAATAAATAAAAAGGAGTTGCGTATATGTGTTTGTTTGGGGAAGGTAGTGTAGACTCCAACAGTTCAGAAATTGTCTCTGGATTGCTTCTGTTGCTGGTTTTCAAGAGAAAAATAATTTCGGTCTCTATTGTCTTTTTTTTTTTTTTTTGCAGCGCACGGTACAAAAAAATGCGAAATACGTTTGTTTAGCAAATAAAAACTGCCCAGTGGACAAGCGGCGTCGCAATCGCTGTCAGTACTGCCGATTTCAGAAGTGCCTGGCTGTCGGGATGGTCAAAGAAGGTAGGTCGGCCACTTGGCCGACTCCGCCGTCTGTGCTCTTGGGAAACCGCTGCCCCTACCCCAACCCCGCTCTCCACTGCCAGAGCCGGGGGTCTCCTGGCCCCCAACCCGCGTCTGGCCTCCAGGAACCCGCAGCTTCCCCAGCCTGTCCTAGAGGAAGCAGCCAGGCCCTTCTCCTTTTAACCATATGATTCATTTGGAAGAGGACAAAAAACAAACCAGTACTTTTTTTTTCCAAGCAGCGGGGTCTCAGCAGCCCGGCCCGTTGCCTGCGGCTGTGGCCTTCCCCCCGGGAGGGGCCGAAGGAGGGGCCAAGGCGGCTGCTGGGTCCTGCTTGGCCGGTCGGCACTAACCCGGCTCTTTCTTTGCAGTGGTTCGAACGGACAGTTTAAAAGGTCGGAGAGGTCGTTTACCCTCGAAACCGAAGAGCCCACAGGATCCCTCTCCCCCCTCGCCCCCGGTGAGTCTGATCAGCGCCCTCGTCAGGGCCCATGTCGACTCCAACCCGGCTATGACCAGCCTGGACTATTCCAGGGTAAGAAGCTGGTGGGGGGTATCATGTGGACAAACGGACAGATGGGCAGGAACCCCTCCCCACTCCCATCACTAACCCCAGACTCCAGAGATTAAAGGAGGCAGGCAAGGCTGTGGCGTCACAGTTCTGGGCAGAGCCACAGACCAGTGTAGACATGAAGACCTTGCAGAGGAGGGAAGAAAAGTTAGGGCACGGTGGTCAAATCTCTTCCAGCCCCTTTCTCCTGACCATGCTACACACATACTCAGGTATTAATGCTTCTGATGCCAAAACCAGAGGCAGTGTGAAAACCCCCATTGGATTTTATTCCCAATCTTCCACAGTGGTGCTTTAATCCTCATCCTCTCTGGCACATCAGGGTGGGGCATGCCTGCTTGGGGATCGGGAAAGGGAATGAGAGAGGGTCTAAGGAATGGCAGTGCAGTGGAGTGTCAGGAGGTCAGAGTCCTATTTCACCCCAGCTGTGAGGAATGTGTGGGCTTTAATTGGAGGAAGTATATCGGGCAAACCTAGAAGTCACTGCAATTTTATTAAGATTTGCAAAGGGCGTCTGCTCAAGACCCACTCTGGGACTGGCATGAATACTAACATGTCAATTGTTTTGTGGAGATAAGAGTGAACATTTCCCAGGGCTGGATGGCACTGTATTTAGTCTGTATGGAAATGGTAATTTACATATTTAAAGTGGCGACCTCATAGCACCATCCCTAATTGAATTAATTGCCCCGGAACATCTAATTTCCCTACTGGTCAGAGAGAGGTTTAATTGTTATAAAAACCTGGCTCCACTACTAGAAACGGGGTTAGCAATTTCACGGGTTATATATTTTAGAGAACCTCATTAAGTGCTTTTTAAAATGAAATTCCAGTTCCAGGCGAACCCTGACTATCAGATGAGTGGAGATGACACCCAGCATATCCAACAATTCTATGATCTCCTGACTGGCTCCATGGAGATCATCAGGGGCTGGGCCGAGAAGATTCCGGGCTTCGCTGACCTGCCCAAAGCCGACCAGGACCTGCTTTTTGAATCCGCTTTCTTAGAACTGTTTGTGCTGCGATTAGCATACAGGTAAGGGAGGAAGCAATCCAGGCGGCTGAGGGAGAGGGAAGAAAGCAATCGAGACAAGAGAAGAAGGGAGCAAGGAAATAAAAGGAGGGAAGGAGAAAAGGACAGACTAGGGATAAGGAGGGAAAGGACAGTAGAAAAAGATAGAGAAGGGAAGGAGTGAGCCCAGAAGTCTGGGGCAAATGGAGTGGAAGTGGGATAGGGGGCGTTCTTGATTGTTATGATATTGAACTCTTTCAAGGTCCACTGGTCTACATTTTATTAACTCTTCGGTAATTAGGTGCCTCTTAAATCCCTCATTTATTGCTCTTCAAGTAATTAGTTGTTTAGCTTTTCTCTCTCTCTTTTTCTCCCCTCTCTTTCTTTGGTATTAATTGCAGGTCCAACCCAGTGGAGGGTAAACTCATCTTTTGCAATGGGGTGGTCTTGCACAGGTTGCAATGTGTTCGTGGCTTTGGGGAATGGATTGATTCCATTGTTGAATTCTCCTCCAACTTGCAGAATATGAACATCGACATTTCTGCCTTCTCCTGCATTGCTGCCCTGGCTATGGTCACAGGTCAGTAGAACAGGCGCAAGGCACTTCTCCAGAACTGCCCAGTGGGATTTGTCCTGGTTTCCCCTTGCCACGGATTCTACCCTGGTATTGCCAGCTCACTAACCACTTTGTGTATTCCTCTTTTGTTTTTGATTGTGTTTTCTGCAGAGAGACACGGGCTCAAGGAACCCAAGAGAGTGGAAGAACTGCAAAACAAGATTGTAAATTGTCTCAAAGACCACGTGACTTTCAATAATGGGGGGTTGAACCGCCCCAACTATTTGTCCAAACTGTTGGGGAAGCTCCCAGAACTCCGTACCCTTTGTACACAGGGGCTACAGCGCATTTTCTACCTGAAACTGGAAGACTTGGTACCACCACCAGCAATAATTGACAAACTTTTTCTGGACACTTTACCTTTCTAGACCCACTCCCATGCACTTCAAAGGAACTGGAGAAAACCTAAAACTGTCCAGAGGGGGCAAGTTACAAGGGCAGAATTATCCCCTGAGCTGTCTCAGCTCTTGCCAGCCCCCACCCCTTCCATTAAACCCCCGGCCCCTTAATCCCTAAAGGAAAACAAAAAACAAAAACAAAAACTGTTGCTATTTCCTAACCTGCAGGCAGAACCTGAAAGGGCATTTTGGCTCGGGGCATCCTGGATTTAGAACATGGACTACACACAAAACAGTGGTATAAACTTTTTATTATCAGTTTAAAAAGCAGTTTAATGTTCAGAAGAAAGATTCCTAATGTATGATGGAAAATGTTTGGCCACATTTGGTTGTTGCAGTTAAGACAAATGTAATACACACACATACACACACACCATAAGGGGACCCACAAGTATTGCCCTTTAAAAGACTTTAGAGTTTTCTGCTGTAAAGAAAGCTGTAATATATAGTAAAACTAAATGTTGCGTGGGTGGCATGATTTGAAGAAGGCAAAGGCTTGTAAATTTACCCAAATGCAGTTTGGCTTTTTAAATTATTTTGTGCCTATTTATGAATACATATTACAAATTCTAAAAGTTAAGTGTGTTTGCAAAAAAAAAAAAATAACTACACAAAAAAGGGACCAGCATGTTGATTCTAGGTTGAAAATGTTATAGGCACTTGCTACTTCAGTAATGTCTATATTATATAAATAGTATTTCAGACACTATGTAGTCTGTTAGATTTTATAAAGATTGGTAGTTATCTGAGCTTAAACATTTTCTCAAATGTAAAATAGGTGGGCACAAGTATTACACATCTGAAAATCCTGACAAAGGGGACACATAGTGTTTGTAACACCGTCCAACATTCCTTGTTTGTAAGTGTTGTATGTACCGTTGATGTTGATAAAAGAAAGTTTATATCTTGATTATTTTGTTGTCTAAAGCTAAACAAAACTTGCATGCAGCAGCTTTTGACTGTTTCCAGAGTGCTTATAATATACATAACTCCCTGGAAATTACTGAGCACTTTGAAATTTTTTGTTTTTTTTTTAAATGTCTAAAATTGTCAGTTAATATATTATTTTATGTTTGAGTAAGAATTTTAATATTGCCATATTCTGTAGTATTTTTCTTTGTATATTTCCAGTATGGCACATGATATGAGTCACTGCCTTTTTTTCTATGGTGTATGACAGTTAGACACACTGATTTTTTTTCTGATAAATTCTTTCATTGAGAAAGACAATTTTAATGTTTACAACAATAAACTATGTAAATGAACAGAATTTTGTCTTCTTTCTGGGTGAGGGGAAAAAAAGCAACATACATTAGACAGAGTTGATTGATTTGGGATAGGTCACTTATTTAACATCTGAGTTTCAAACTGCCAACCCAGCTCTATGCTGACAAAAGAAATTGGGTAATTGAACTAATTTCCAGAGAACTCAGTACAATATTTTTCTTTAACCAGAATTTTCCAGTGTGCCAACCTACATTGATCAGAAGTGATTAAGACTATCTCAGCTTTTCTGTTAACCTTCCTACAGCTTTCAGAAGAGAGTTCAGGACACCAAGCAGCTTTTGAACTTCTGCAAGTCCAAAGTCTTGTCAAATTTTCATCTTGCACAATGTTGAGGAGGTATCTTTTTAAGATTTAGGAAGCCAACATAGATGTGAAGTGTGTTGTACTTAATCTGGAACTTTTCTAATTCCTCTACTTAATACTGTTGTAAAGATTCTTGGTGGAAGGACCAGCATTTGGGGCCCTTTGGCCTTGGGTCAGTGGCCTTTGGTACAGAGCTGAACTCTGTGGAGGCATTTCTTGCATTTTTTTCTTCTTCGGTGGATAGTGATGAGATTGATCACAGTTATAGAATAATACTTCACTTTAAAAGTTTCTCTAATAAATAATAAACTATCCCTGTGTCAGGTGCCTTGTGTGGTATAAGCCAGTGATCCCACAGCCTTAGGATTTCACCCAAAATCAACTTTTAGCAAGAAAGTAATGCTGTTCATCCACTTACAGTCTGGGCTGCCGCTGGGCACCACCGGGCCCTTGGGCAGTGGAGGTTCCCCGAGTCTCACCTCAGGACAGCTGTGGATTCACAGGGCACAGAACACGGGGCCAGCCTTCTTTACTGACCCCGATGAATTCCCGATATCCTTCGGTCCCTGAAATTTACAGAGTGTTACTGTTCTTAAAAAACAAACTTAGAACAGGAAATTGCCATGAAGTCCTCTGGTTACTTTTATGTTGCTCCCCTCTTCTTAAAAAGTCGAGTTTTGAGGGTGGGTGAGAGAGTGAAAGCAGGTCCCCCAGTAACTTAGGTTGTTTTTAGGAGGTGGGTTTCTCTGCAGGTAACTTTGAGGAGCAAAAGTGGGTGGTCATGTAAGAGACTCAATAGTAAGTGAAATGTTCAATTGCCTGACTTTGTTGAAAAGATGAGGCTTGCCTTTTTTATTTTCACAACTTTAGCCCAACCAAAGCCGCGCACTAATAAGCAGAAAAGAAAGAGAAAGCTCTTTAGAAATAGTGGAATTCTGCAGAGCCGTCAGCACTCATCTCCCAGGTGTCTGCAGCCTGAGACAATTACATTCCGACTCAGAATCCCATAGAGTTGAACCAGAAAGGAACTCTGTTGCCGGTTCTCCCTTAAGGAAGAGGCTGCACATCACCCGAGGCCAATGGGGTGTTAGGCAGTGAGCATCCCTCCAGAGAATTTGGGGTGAAAGGAGGGAGAGATGACCTGCTCCCACGGCTGCGTGCACACTGTATGCGCTGCCTCTGCGTGTCTTCAATTGTAATACCTGAGTTGCAAAGTGGCTGGTGCTTTTCTGCTTCATAGTTATGTAGTCTCTTTCCAACTCCCGGCTGTGCATGAGGGTTGTGCAGGGAAAGAGCCTTGCATGCATCTATCTCCCTGGGATTTTTTGAGATCCGCGCAGCTGAGGACTTTTCCTGTCTGTCCTAGTCTTTCTAAGAGTAAAATGCAGGAAAAGCAACAGACACGCTGCATTGCAAAAGCTAGATATTGCATGGAAGTTCTTTAGAAAGAGATTAAAACTTTATAATAGGGGCTTAATTTCTCACTCCTCTTCCCACGTCCTCTTTAAGAATGTCAGTTTTGTATATCGTCCTGGTTATGAAAGTATATAATCATTGTTCCGAAGACTTGACCATACATTTTTCAGCTTAGCGAGGTCTAATTTTAAGTTTTCACAGTGCCCTAGACCCATTTTGAGTGGTTGCTTAGAAGGCCCTGACTTTACAGAGAAATGCCCTTAATCTAAAGGACAGGTGAGCTGCGCTACAGCCTGCTGCTCGCAGAACTCCGCTTCTGCTTGCTTCCAGCGACCGCCGCCCTCTCGCTAGGTGTCCAGGCTGTCCTCGGTCCTCTTTCTGGCCTTCCGCTTGGTCCTGTTGCTAACAAGAGAGAGACCCCGGGCTCAAGGAGCTGATAGCACCCTGCAGTGGCAGCGGCACCCAAGCGGAAGACCTTATCTTGCGTATTTCTTTTGGTGCTTGACTCCATCCCTAGAGAGTTTGAGTGCCCTCTTCGCTAAAAATACCTATCCTAAATCTTATGGGACACTGGTGTGCAGAGTGCAAGGAGCCCGACAAACTGAAGAATGTCACTTGTGGGTTCAATGTCACTTTGCCTTGAGTCAGTGCTTCCACACGAATATTCAGTTATCTAGTTATTTTAAACCTAGGCGCCGCCCGTGAATATTTCCAAGATACAAACAGGTCTGTGAGGGAAAAGTTTGATTTCATTGTCATATTTTGATTACAGAGATTTCCGGCACAGGGTCCACTTTCATCCCGCCAGGCCCCATGCAGAGTGGCGACACTACAGCGCTCCTGGACATCGCGCGTGTTGCGCATCTCCGCGCCACCAGCATCCTGCCTACCGCCACACACACACGCCCGCTTCCCTTTCTATCCGCGGCGCGGCAGCGCGGAGGTGGCTTCGGAGAGGAAGGATTGGGGGTCTCGCGGACTGGCCTCGTCTCTCTCACTGGGGGACGCCCATCTCCAGGCCCTGTGTGCCTGCAGCCACCTAAAAAATGAAGGGGGGTTCTATGAAGGCGGGGAGGAAAAGAGGTTGTCTAGTCCTGAGGATTTAAAAAACTTTTTTTTTTTTTAGTATTATTTTGACAATTGAACAGAGTTCTTGGAAGTATCTCTGAGACATCCTCCTCCGAAAGGGTTTTTAAGGCTTTATTTATTTATTTTTTGCCCCCCACCTGCCGCCACAATTCAAGAACAGGAACTGTTGCTTCCTGGGCGCACCTGGGAATTTCTCAGCAATCCAAGCTTCCCCGGCATCCATCGAGCCGGCATTTGACTTAATTTTACAGTTTCACAGAAGACGGATGGGATTGGGATTTAGCCTATCCTTTCTCGCCGTTGGTCTCAGCCACAGCTAAAGAGCGCACCTCGCTGCAACATTGTTAGGGAAAGGGTGTGCTTAGATCCCGGCACCTGACAGAAGTCAAAGCAGAACTATCCCACAGCTGCATTTGTGAGGGACTTATGTTTCCCATGGCTGATTTTACTGGTAAAACAAGACATGAATTTCAAAGAGTACCAAAAATTTTTAAAAAGGAATTCGTTCTTAATAATGAAATAAACACGCAAAAATCCGATTTCATTTGTACTTTTTAATTGTATTAGAAACCCCAAGTTGGATACTATACATAAACATTTAGAATGGCGAAACTGTCATTTGAAGTCATTTCCCCTTAGTGTGTTTCCTGAGCACGGCTGGAAACGACCGCTGGGGTCCTCCAAGTCTTTTCTCCGACCTTGACGTTGCGTTTCCTTAGGGAAAGTCCCGCTTGTGTCTGAGGGCGCTTCCAGAAGCGGTCCAGCTTCCAGAGCTGGCACCGAGGGCCCCCACCCCAAGCCAGGAGCGGAAGGAGACACACACGCCTAGTCTCAAACCCCCGACGTGAGCTTCGGGCTCAACAGACCGTGGGGGCAAACTCCGGAGAGCGGGGCTCTAACACCTAGTCCCACGCCTTCTCACTAGTGCCCCACCACCCCAACCGGGTCTAATTTTTGAGGTCCCAAGGTCACTGGAGAGGACGTGTGTCCATTTGCGGTTTGGCTGGGAGCGAAAGTGGAGGCGCAAGCGCTCCGGCTCAGTCTACTGCGTTTTGGTGATTTAGAATTTGACTCTCTAGGTTGCGCCCGGATTCTTTGCAGAGGGAGCCCGGGGGCAATTAGGGCCAACTCGCACGGGTTAACTTTGTTTCCTCCGTTTCCTGTCCTGCCAACTCCAGCTGTTTTTTGCTTCTTTCCCAACCGTTTTCCGTCCCACAAGGCCGGAGGCCGCAACAGGTTCCAGTCGCTTGCAGGCTGGGTCCTGTGCGTCAGGGCGCAAGCATGTGCAGCCGAGATTGCTCCCAGCTTTCCCTGCACCCACTGATCAGTGGTCAGTCTTGGCTCTCCACGAGTTGTGAGTGGGTTGGAGCGTCCATTCACACCACACTAGGGAATTTTTTTTTCCTAGTTGTGGGAGGGGCGACAGGCGTTAGGACGCGAGTTGGAAGCACGTCGGAACTAAAGGAAGGGCCGGGAGAGGGGCCCACACAACCATGCTACACGCGTGCTACGTTCTGGACTCCGAAGCTCTGTGGAGAAATTGTGGGCATCCTGGCAGTGCTTTCGGGTCTCCGGGCAATCCATGTTAGTAGCCCTAGGCCCGCACGCCAGAGGTAGTGACTGGTCAAGTGTTCAGATGAGAGCTGTGAGGGGTGGGGCAGAGGAGCAGCCAGTTTTTCCTGTGGTGAAGACGCCAACAGGCGGAGGCTGCCCTCCCCCTTCTGGGCTTAGCCCATTTCTCTTTGTGGAGCTCAGCTGGACTGGACAAAGCGCCGAGCGGGGACCTGGCTCCTTAGAGAGATCGGTTTCTTCTCCCCCCAGGTCATCTCTAACACTCCTACATCTTTATATTTCTATCTAAACTTGCGTTTATTGAAACCAGGATTTCCAGGATATGCGCCACCTGTCGTAACACTTGCAGTGACCGAGTTTCCGTTCAGGGGCTTTCCCCGGGTAGCAGAGGGAGGTCGAGGGGCTGCTGTGCACGTTTTCCATCAGGTTCTAGAGGGACTTCCAGAGGCACAGAGTCTGCTCAGATGTTCTGCCTCTGGTATCTTGCAGAAGAGGATCGCGTTGACTACCTCAA